TTAAGTACAATGCTTGAATACAATTCTTATAGAAGCGTTAAGTACAATTCTTATTTGCACAAGGTGATGAGAACTCATTTGACATTGATCTCCCTCAAGCATGGTGACAATGAAGATAAGAGCAAAGACACATCGAAAAGACACACATGTTGAGGAATTTGAGATCCTAGCTACTCACCAAAAACTTACTAAAGTAAGCACCTTGTGAGGGATTGCCTACCCACTTGTGGAATCAAGGGAGCACATCAAGACCTGAGTCAACTTAAGTTGGAGGTGCAAAACCAACGTTCTAACACCCACACCCGATAAGGAAGTCTTAGGGGCAAGGACAAAATGAACTCAAAAATGGGAAAGAACTAGAAACTAGATAGGGACAAGAATATATGGGAGCCATGATACAATCAAAATGAAAGATACTAGAAAGAAGATGAACAATTACAAACAAAAAACTCCCAGAAGATACAAGGAATATGAGAAGTACTAAATGGTCAATACAAAGGTTGTCAAAGATCAAGATGAGAAGACAAGAACTCCCAGAAAATTCAAATGAATGAAGAAATCAAGAGGCCAACATGCTAAAAACCAAAGAACTAGAACAGTCAAAACATAAAAAGTCAAGGAACATCACTCAAGGATCGAAAACCCTATTATAGGACAAAGAACAAAGGAAAACAGAAAGAATGGAAGCCAAGACTAGAACCAATCATGGAATCAAGTAGGAAGAAAATAAAACAAATCAAGAAAGATAGAATAAGAAAGTAAGCAAAAAGGTGGAAAGCCAAAAATTGAACAAAGATTAACCATGGAACCAAGAGGAAAACAGTAATGGAATAGGTGGAACCCATGAGAATGGGAAACTAAACAAATCGACAAGTCAGATAAGAGAGCCAAAGGACAAGTCAACTTGAATTCAAGTGGTCGGATGCCAATGTAAACCCCAAACTCAAAAGGTAAAATGCTAAAGTAAATCGATCAGTAAGGCAATCTAAGACTCATGAAGATGGAAAGCAAATGCAAATCAACTGACTAAGTAGTCAATATTGTAAACCCGAGCTCAGGTAGGTAGAGAGTCAAGATAATCGGCTAGCTAAGCAAGTGACGAAGTACACCCAAGCTCAAGAAGACAAAAGCCAATAAAATCAATCAACTAAGTTGAAAACAATATAAACTCAGATTAGGGAAGGCGATAAGTCAAGGTAAATTAATGGACCACATCAAGGGTTAAATGTCAACAAAGTAAACTCAAACCGAAAAACCAAGCAAGCCAAGGAAAAAATATCTGATAAGAGATTCAATGGATAAGGCACATCACTTAACTATACAGGAAGCTAAAATCAACAAACTATCCATTCGACTCAGAGGTTCTAAATTAACAATATTACTGTGCTAAGTGCATGAAGATGATCAACGCACTCGACTTGCTAATGTTGAAAGTTGCACATATAAGATGTCAAACAATCTGGCAGAGAGAGTGTTCCTTGGTTCTTAATATATCTTGCATCTTATGTTACCAAGCAAGTACATTGGGGTATGCTTCTTAAAGCAACTTACTAACAATAAATAAGGAATTGCAAGCACTTTAATAATAAACTTCGTATTAGATCAAATAGTAGCACAAATAAAACAATTACTTTATTTTTCTCTGTAAGAGCCAAGCTGTAACTGGGGCTCAAACCCCTTATATCATCCTGACTTAAGAGGGTAACAAGAGGGAAGTGTCATATAGACCTAAGGCCTCTGGCAATTTAATATTAAAAGTAACAGATCAAGTATTGTCTATACTTCCTACATTTACTTTTTGACATTTTTACACACTCTCCATCTACTAAGAAAACTTTCCCAAGAAAGGAATACTAGAGAAGGATGCAGTAAGTGCTTTTCACCCTTGGAGTAAACAAACAAGGCATAAAGTAGACACTTAAGCAACCAGGTGACAAAGTATAACCTAACAAATTCTAGGCATATGCTAATAAAAAAGGGGAACATGAATCTACACACCCTCCTAGTATGATGAACCATTGAATAAATTTTGTAAAATGCATTGATTACCTTTAGCTGCCTCGCAAGCTCATTAGCATGCAATATGTTGGCGAGCTTCGATTGTCCATATGCAAATATACTGTTGTACCTGTAGACGAGTTAAAAGAATTAAGGAAATGATTGCTAGGATTATACATTACATGATAAAATTAAGAACCTTGATTACATAAACATGAAAATGATATCTATATTACCATGACTCATCATTGATTTTATCAAAACAAATTCCTGCACGATATGCAAATCGGTGACCTTCAGATGATACATTGACAATCCTTCCTTCTCTGTTGCTCTCGCATGCTGTGTTCTTCATTGTCTCCAGTAAAAGGTTTGTCAAAAGGAAATGGCCTATGAAATGATCATTAGATTATCCGTAAGTGCCTAGTTTCAGGGACTCCAAAAGGATGGCCATTCAACCAAAATCTCCTAATGGGATCATTCTTATTAGTTTTTAAACTTGACAAATCAAATTTACTACATGAAACTTAATTATATAGAGAATGAAAGAAAATTGTTCAATCCACTCCTTGCAAAAGAATTTCCAGACTTTGGCCAATATAGAAACAAGTTATACTCGTAGCATACCTAAATGGTTGGTCGCAAACTGGAGTTCTATGTTGTCTTGGGAAAGCATGAAAGGAGTGGCCATAACCCCAGCATTGTTACTTCAGAAAAAAAGCATAGAGAACATCGGTACTTTATATAACATCCAAATCAAAATAAAGTTCTCAAAAACGTAAAAAAAAATAATTGGAATAAAAAATAAGCAACAAGAGAACTACTGTCCACAAAGGAAAATAAACTGAGTGTACAGAGAATGAGAGTCCAGAAAAAGGGAAATACAAATTAGAATAATTATCTTACATGAGTATATTAAGGGGAAGACCTGATGACTTGAATTCAGATGCAAAGTTTCTTACTGATGCCATTGAGCTCAGATCTAACTCCATAACATCAACCTTAGCAGCAGGAATTTCCTTCTGTATTTCTTCTTTAACTTTTCTGCCAGCATCCATATTCCTCACTGCCAAAACTACATGGGCACCACGCAATGCAAGAACACGTGCCGTCTCTGAACCAATTCCACTGGATCCTCCTGGAATGAACCGATATAAGCACTAAGATACGACTAATGAATACTTATATCATTTGCTCAATACTGCTTTCGTGGTAGGTTATTGCACAAAAATGAAAAGGCGAAGCGGAGAAAAGACATTCTAGCTACCAAAAAAAAAGACTAATATTAGTAATGTTGCTAAGCAAAAGCAGTGAGTCAGAACTTACTTTTTCATGCACATTTTTCCAATGTAAGAAACTTCACAACAGTTGAAACATCCTTTAGAAACAGGCGGGACAACAGTATTTTTGTTTCACAAAGCATTTGAGAAATGCACCATTCAATTTGGCAAAATCATAATGACTGCCACAAACTTTACTTGAAATACTAGGATTTCTAGAATTACACATCAGGAAAGAATGATGTTAAGAGTAGGAAATATGGTCTTCCAATGAAAATGATTTCAGTAAAATCTGTACTAGAAGAAACTGATTGAACGAATGCCAATCAATTAATGAAATCAGGCACATTCAATCATCATGACCCACATATGTGCTCCACCCAATTTAGGTCAATAGTTATTTGTCTGTAGAAATCAAGGGTCATGATTTATTAAATTATCAACCAGGAAAATAAGTACATTAACGGATATCAACTCCACGCCTATAGCAAATGTGACAGCGATCACGAAACGAATCGCAGACAATTTCCTCTATTCTACTCACAATGAGACCACAAATGCCAATAATTATCTTTCACATGCTTACTATTCATCCATTTACAAGGCTTGATTCAGTACATGTGCAAACCCAACAAAGGTAATCTAACAATTAAAAATTTCAGACATTACCGCAAAATACAATAGGCAAGGTTATCCACTTTAAATTATGTTAACGCTTTAATGGAAACCATTCATTCAACAAATAAATCGACTAACAGACAACATACTTTCTCATCCGTACACACCCTAGTGATAGAAAAGCTAGAGATGGGCACACAACCTTTACAGAAGGAGGACTAAAGAAAAAAGTCAAAACTCGAGGTATAAATAACTAATACAAGCGATTCCAAAGCGAATGAATGTTGTCCCGTCTCAGTTTTCCCGGCTATCAAACAGTATTTCTATTAACCAGAAAAAAAATAAATAAAAAAAATAACGGATAATAAAAAGAAACCTGTAACGATGGCAGTAAGACCAGTGCCATCAATCCCATAAGTAACATCCTCAGCCGTCGAAGAAGCAGAGAATCCAGATGGTCCTTTCCACCCAAAAATCCACATTTTGTTTTTCTAGTTTTTACAGGTTGAAGATGGTTTTACCAGGCAAGACCAATAAGAAAGCTAGTGAGCGGAGAGAATAGTATTTTGGCTGGAGGGGGAAGCAATCATAAAATTTTGGTCAGGGTTGACATTGAAATGCACAGGAAACACGTCCATGTTGTATGAGATTACTGGACCGTAGTTGGCAGCCGTTGGATCTCGTTTTCAGTCACGAGCACAGGTACAGGGAAATGCTACGTGGATCGCATAGCAAAGAAAGAAGGTTCAAAAAAAAAATAAATTATCATTTTATCGGTGTGGATTAAAATCAATTATTTAAATTATTTTTTTGTTCATTATTAAACTAAAATATATATTTTATACTCTAATTTTTTATAATTTCAATTAAAATTAAAAAAATAATAATAACAAAGGAGAATGTTTAAAGAAAACTTTGCTATTTCTGAAAGATATTTGGGCAAAAAATAAAAATAAAATCATATTATAAATGATTTTGCAATTTCAAGAAGTAAATTATAATTAAAAAAAAAAATTAAGAATTAATTTGTCACACAACTTATTAGTTAAGTAGTAGTAAGTCGATAATTTATCTAATAAATTATATTATAAGACATTTGAATGTTATAATTTACATTTATTTATTTATTTATATTTTTACTATTATATTATCCACATATTTTGTTTAAGTTTAGAACAATTGTTGGTTGTAAATGATTCAATTTAAAAATATAAATTGATAAAAGTTATGACATCTCACAATGGTGTTATGACATGTCTATTTCATATTAGGTGTCACACATTAGCAATGAGCTAAAATAAATATTATAAAACATAGTATATTAGGTGGTTAACACAGTTGACCGACACGTACATATTAAGAAATCAAACTTCAGCTGCTACGTTTTCATAATCATTCCTGTATATCGCATTGATAATAATTTCAAATAAATTATAGTCTTATTCTTATTCTCTTAAAAAAAAAATATTATATATTATATAAAAAGAGTTATATGTAGTAATATCTAACAAGGTGAATGCAGTGCGTGGAGTTAGTCGACAAAGGAGGTTGCTGGACGTACCGCGTTAAAAAGTGAAGATGGAGGAGAGGTTAACACGTATAATACAGAAGATTAGGTATAATTCAATTATCTGAGTTCTGTTAATATTTGCAGTACGATAGACCAGGAAAGAGGTTCAAGCTTCCATAGTACATTATAAATCGACCAACGTATTTATGTTCCTCGAGACCCAAAGTCAAGGTCTGGAGATTAGTTCCGTCGAAGAAAAAAGTGCTACGATAATGGAGGTTAGTGATAATTAATTACCAAACACCCCCCACCCCGTCATTATTAGATGACAAAAGGAGAGGGCAGTAGAATGATGACCCAAGCTGATGACGTGACATAACTTCATTAAATGCACAATGGCAAGTTGGAATCAAGTAGGGAACTGACAAAGGCCCCCCACTCTAAATAATCAACAAGAACACGTAAGTGATCTTGGAAAGCTATAGAAATTCAGAAAAGCTAATTTTGCTCACATGGATCCAAAGCCCAAATTTGACCCAGCAAACACCATAATTCTAAATCCTCAAAATTCAGCGCCCAGAAGGAAATGTAGCCCAAACATAATTTGAGGACCATGCCCCAACTTGTGCTGAACGGACAGGACACGTTGGAGCCCAAATAAAAACCCCGTTACGCCTTTCTTTTTCCACCCAACTAATCCAAAAGAGGCGATGGAGGCGGCGGCATGCCAAATGCCAGAACTTGCTTACCCCTCTACAGTTTAGATCCCTGCGAGCTCTTGTAAATAAGCACAAACCTACTATCATTTTTTCCTCTTAAAACTAAAATTAGCATATAGCCTGGATGGCCAACATATTGAAAGACCCCAATTACAAAAGCGGAAAGCTCTATTTAGCACCGACGGTGAGATCAAATGTTAAATATATTATACTGATATCAAAATATGAATCTACGTTTAAAAAAATAATAATAATAGGACAAGACGAGAAGGTATGAAGTACCCATCCAGAGGCATACGTCCATTGATTTTGATTACGAAGTTTTCGTTAATGATTTAAATCTTCCTTCGTTCTACCATTCTTTCATTAAATTCCTTTATTCATTCATCACTCCTCCAGTATATATAACTATATTTTTTTTTTTATTAGACAGCTTTATTGTTTCAAATTTCACATACAAACTAAAATCAAAATGGCCAAGGAAAAGAGTTCAGATTTACCCATGCTTAGATTCTTGGCTTGCTCTGTTTCTTCTTCTTAAAAGAACCTCCTCTCAATTTCAAAGGTTCCTTCAATTTGCTCCCCAAGTCATCTCTCTCTCTCTCTCTCTCTCTCTCTCAAGTCGCTGTAAGCGCCTCCATCTTTTTCTTTACGATCAAACCAGGTTCGTCTCTCTTTTTCTTTTTTCTTTACTATCAGACGCCATCTTTTTTTCTTCACATCAGCTGCAACGTTGCAGTACTCTATCCTCTATCGCGCTTCATCATTTCATCTTCAAATGATCTTCTGATTTCCCTCTGCTTTACGTCTTCCGTGTCGTTGTATCATCGTCACCGAACCTCCAGACCAATTCTTTACCTACTCCTTTTCGTTGTGTTTCTGGCGCCAATCTCTCTTCTTTTTCTCCTTTCTATATGTGTGTCTCTGGAGCAGACGGAAGAAGGCAAAAATTCCTTTTCCGAAACGGTGTCGTATTAGAGAAGAGAGATATGTTGTCTAGGTTGGGCTGCAAAGTTGGCTTTTATTTTAAAGGGATTTGAACTTGGGTTTGATATTTAGGTTTGAAGAACTAAAATGACAAACTAAAGATTTGATCAAACAACAAATTAGGTCACAAGTAATAATAATAATATCAAAGCAAAGTTAGAGAAAGGCTCAACAAATGCAGGTTCACAAAAAGTACCCGCATGCCATAGTTCATCACTTGTTTGCTATATATATATATATTCAAATCTGAGTGATTTATCAGATTATCACACACAGACCCATATAAAAAAAAATATTTAGATTTGAACAAGCTTGGTTAAAAGATAATTTATGATTAAAATATATATATATATATATATATATGGAACAAAGCCTTCAAGAATTATTCAAACGAGAGGATTAATTTGGGATTTGGATTTTGATCAAGATGACTGAAACGTAGGCTACGCTACGTGGAGAAGAAAGAATAATAATATAATAAGAATCACCACGTGTCAATTCAAGATATGTGCCAGATTAGTTTCTAACTTTCTATAATAATCTATTTGAGAAGTGAGATGACTCATTTTTTCATTGATCTACAAAGCTTATTCCTAACAATTATCACCCCCGAGGAGAAGCATGAAGGGAAGCAAAATACCTTCAGAAGAAAAGGTATTGACATAATAGAAAGGAAGTTTCTTATGGCATATAATCTTACAAAATCAATTAATCAGTTTATCAATGTCTTTCAACTGTTTTTTTCTAATTACTTATCAACGTCCACAACTCTATATGCAGGTATAATAAAATCGGAGAAAAAAATTAGACAAGAAATCTTTATCTTTCTTTTATTATCTTTTCATCCTGTACAAAAAATGGTTATATGTAGAATCATTTACAGAGAGTTGAAGAGCGAGTAATAATAATATTGAGAAGAAAAGGTTTCATGGAAAGAAACACCAAAATACCTTAAAAAAAATGCTACCAAGCATTAAATGGCGGAGAAAGAAAAAATATGCTAGGGCTATTTTTTTTGTTTTTGTCACATATTTTTTGGTTCGTTTCAATTTCGATTGTAAAATTTTCGTTATAGAGGAGGAGGAGGGTGAGATCAAAAGCCACATACGAATAGTAATCAAAATTTCAACTCAATCTTTTTATATGGAAAAACAATTTTCTTATTGAATTAACACTAAAAATTTGATAAGGAAGAAGAGTGGAGAACCTACTTTTTACATGGCAAGGAAAAAGCAACCAACCCTCCTCACAATGACCACTACTCGAGATCAATCCCAAAACCAAAATTATCTTTTCTTGGGGGCGCATCAGATTTTTAATTCCGAACCCAAAAAACCCTAATGTTAAGACTTATTTTCTTGCGTACTCAACTTTGTCTGTCCATGGTTATAAAAGCAACTAAATGAAACAGGGTGTTTGATGAAAGAGAAGTTCCTTTTCAAGGGGGCTTCTGATTTTCAAGCCGTAAACTTTTGACATATCAAGTGTTTGATGTGATTACACCACCATCAAATTAACACGAACATAATTTTTCCACATATACAGTGTTTCTTTCCATGAGGAGAGAGTTAATGATTACCAAGGAAATTTCTACACACGCTACATATATATAATTTGTCCACACACACGTATCTATGTATGTATATATATATATATATATAGAGAGAGAGAGAGAGAGAATAATAACAAAAGAATTCTCCAACTCAGATGATGTTACAAAGTTGATAGAACAGGCAATGGTAGTAATTAATTTACACACATAATTTAACAGCTCAATAACAAAATGCACATGAAACCCAGAATATATTTATATATATAAACCATAGAGAAGGATGCAATGAAACAAAAAAAAAAATTAAGGAAAAAGATAAGATTGGAGATGAATGAGGAAGAACTAGAAGAAGAAGAAAAAGAAACTTTAAGCCCTGGTCTTGAAAGGAATGGCCCTGATGACTATCTGGTGGTAGACTGCAGCAAGAGCAGCTCCAATGAAGGGTCCAACCCAGAAGATCCACTGCAAAATTTAACAAAAAATAAATAAATTTGTTATGGAACTAAGAAAAAAATAGAGAGGGAAAATCAGAAAAAAAAAAATGGTGACGGAGTTTACATGGTCATCCCATGCATGATCAGTGTTGAAGATGATAGCAGCACCCAAACTCCTGGCTGGGTTAATGCCAGTTCCTGTGATGGGGATGGTGGCCAGGTGAACCAAAAACACTGCAAACCCAATTGGAAGAGGAGCCAAAATCTGCCATAAATAGACACAAAACCAAACCAGAAAAATCGTTAATTGGATCATTATCATCAAGCTAAAAAACTCATATGAAAAAATGGTAAATTAGAAAAAGAAAATTCAAGGTTAAGACAGAAACTTACAGGAACATGAGAGTCTCTGGCGTTTCTCTTTGCATCGGTTGCAGAGAAAACAGTGTAGACAAGGACAAAGGTGCCTACAATCTCAGCACCCAACCCATCACCCTTGGTGTAGCCATGGTTAACCACGTTGGCTCCACCACCTAACCTCTGGTATGGACCTGGTTGGAATCCCTTCACCACACCAGCACCACAGATCGCACCCAGACACTGCATGATCATGTAGAAGACAGCCCTGGTCAGGGACAGCTTCCGTGCCAGCAGTAAACCAAAAGTCACAGCTGGGTTGATGTGCCCACCTGTTACCAACACCACATAATACCAGATCCACTAAATAAAATTGCATTAAGAAATTTAAGCAACCTCCAGTACAAATATACAACTGATCAAAGATTTGAAGAAAAAAAAAAACCAACTTCAAACTCAAAACAACTAAAACAGAGTAAACCTGATCTGAGAATTTTACATGCCCTTAAAAGTTTTTAAGGATATACTAAATAAGTTAGTAAAAATGGTTAGAGAAAGATACTACCTAAAATAGTTCAAATTCAAAACAAATCACTAAAAAACTTCAGGAAGATTAAACCCATGAAACAGATCTGAGAATCCGAGATATCCATATAAGATTTTACAAGGAAATTTGTGAAGAAAAAGGTTAGAGAGAGATACTAACCAGAAATACCGGCAGTACAGTAGACAAGAGCAAAGATCATGCCACCAAAGGCCCAAGCAATTCCTTGAATACCAACAGAAGCACACATGGAATCAGATCTTTTGACACCCATGACAGTCAGGATAGTGATGTAGAGGAACAAGAAGGTAGCAATGAACTCTGCAATTCCAGCTCTGTAGAAAGACCATGACTTGAGCTCTCCGGGCTCAAACAGCGGTGCAGGTGGTGGCTCCTTGTAATCCTTATCTGTCTGAGCTGCTGTCCCTATGGGCTGCCTCTCTGAGAACTTGTTTGCTCCCAGCTTAACATCCTCTTCTTTCCCCTCCATTTTCACCCTCAACAAAGCAAGATTCTTTCTCTGGAGTTTTAAGCTACTGGACTACCAAGAATGAAGCAAGGCAGAGCAGAGAAAGTTGAGTTGAAGGACAAAGTGAGGATAAGGGTGCTTTTATAGATGGGTTTAGGTGCATTTTTATAAATATAATTAACACAGATAATGTTGCAGTAATAATTATATTCTTTCAATTAATTTTAGAAGGATTGTTCTTATCAATTATTTATTATTCTTTTAAAATAAGAGGATTGGAGTTTGTCTCTCTGTATATATTCTTGTTATAGTATTTATAATTAAACATATATTATTCTGAAAACTTAACAGGATGTGGAAATATATATATATTTTTAAAAAAAAAAAGAAAAGAAAAGGATGATTCTGGAAACAAAAGAAGGTGATGAGAATGAATGAGAGAGGTTTCATGGTTGTTCTTATCCAGTACAGGGTGGTGGGGGGGTGTCTTGTTTCATTTCTTTTGATTAGCTGTTATGGGCCATCTGATCATTTAACCTAATCAAGATTATTGAATAATTAGACAGAAAAAGCTTGTAATTCAAGTGGTCCATTCTTGCTCTGTTATGTGCTAGTCAATGGGACAAAGAGCTTTTTGCTTTTACAACCAAACATGGCCTTCAACTGCAAACGTGGTTTCTCAGCTCATGGGTTTTGTGGTTTAACATTTTTTTGCAGGGTGTTTCTTCTTCGTTTATTTATTTATTTATTTTAAAATATATAAAAAATGGAAAAATACAATGTATACTTTTTTCAAGTCTATATTTATTTTAATTAAATATATGAAATTCTATTTAAACTATAAAAAATGAAACTAATTTAATATTGTCTATGCAATTATATATAACTCAGTTTTTATCATTTCGAACTAAAATTTATTTATTTTAGATAAAATAACTATTAATTTATAAATAAATTTTTTTAAAAAAATTCTAAATGTGTTAAGAATTAGTTGTAAAATAATATAAAGTTATAATAAATTATTATAAGTGAAATTTAAGAGCTTAAGTTTCATAAATTTATGAATTTTGACTTTTAGATGAATTTTAGGTCATAAAAATAAATAAAATGGTATAACAATAAATTATTTGGTACAACATTTAGCTATTAACAAAAAATGGGAGTTAATCAATAAAATTTATAAAGTAACACATTTGTTAAACTATTAATAAAAATATGATATCGCATCTACTTTACAAAATTAAAAACATAATATAATATATGCGTAGTAATTCTTGTTAGTTCTAATATGGTAAACTAATTGAATGATTAAATTGTAATAGTCAAATGTTAAAAATATTTTATAGTAAAAAAAATTAAAAACTAAAATAGAAAATACATTAAAAAAAATTAGACTTCGAATTTCTATATATATATATACATGTTAGTGTTGACTTATGCTAAATTAATATAAAAATTACTAAAATTAACAATCTTACTATCGAAATACATGCTTAAAATGAATCCCTAACTCAAATTAACACAAATTAGGTTACTTTATTTCTATTAATGTCAAGTTTAATTTGGTGGAAAGTCCAAATATCCTCATGAACTCTTAAAAATCTTTAAAAAGCCTCCATACAAAATTTATGTTGATTTAGATTTTTCTAATCATAAAAGTAAATTAGATTTAGAAGTTTTGATCATATTCTAATACATTCATATTTCGAATTATAAATATTATATTACTTGAAAGTTATTATTTCAATTAATTTATCTGCATGTAGTTGATGATGTTTGGATTCCAACTTTATCTATTTTTTCTCCCCGTATTACAAGAATTCTCTTTTTATAAGGGCAAAAGGTTTTCTTACTATAGGGATTAATTATTCATAAAATATTTTTTTAGTACATGATCTGTTTCCTACACACACGACTAAAGAGATTACTTGGTTATAGTATGACATCTGGCACGCAAGAGTCTTAGTGCTTAAAATACACCTCTTATAAGGAGTAACACTAAATAATCTACCTATAGGTTGATCTTAAAGTAAATATTTATCCCACGCTCTCTTTTTACATTTACCTACTAAATTTACTTTGGAAATCCTCATACTACATAGACACCATATAGGATAGTGACTTATCCTCACTAACAACTTCCCACATATGTTTTATACTAACATTTTTTTTGAAATTATAATTACTGGTTATGGAATTTATAGGATTGCTACAGTTTATATTTCAACATGGAATATACAAATTATAGAGGTATCTGCATATAATATTAAGGCATGACTTTTTTTTTTTTTTTTACTAATACAACAATAGTCTACCTATTCATAACAAGCAAAATTATTTAAGATATCTTATCATATGTTTTAGTTATGATGAAACTACTTTATTTACGGTAGAATCAACAAAAATATGCAAGCATCTACATAAATCACATGCAATATATCACAACACACAAGTTACCTATCTTTATTTTAAAATGCATATTCATGTAAAGAGTATATATAAATATAAAAAAATGATGAAAGTCTAAAGAAAATAATCAAGATTACTTATGTAGTAAACTACTTTTTTATTTTTTATTTTTTATGTTGTACTACAATCCATAGATATGGTACCAACATCAATCTATGTTAGCTTTAAACAAAATCATGGAATACAATGAACACAGGTGTCAAGAAGACGTTTATTCAAAATGAAAAACTGAAATTTTATAATATGAAGATTTTTACGAACAAGCTTATATATAGTTTGATTTGATTAAGACTAATTCGTATTCTATTAACGGACCCTCGTTATTTTTTATTATATATATACGAAATTTAAATATTAAATCTTCATATGTAAAATGTGTATGTTGTGGGTCTGGTTAAACTTAGTAACTAATAGTCTACTTTATAAATTCTTCTAATTGGTCTAGTATGCCAAATCTTATACGAAACATATTCAATAAACTTACATATTTATTTTGTTAAAAGAAAAAGAGATACAAATTTTCCATTCATCTATTAGCAAACTCTAAGGAGTCAAATCATTTTTCTCAGCATAATTGTTTGGACGGTTGCGATTTGTTTGGTAGCCGGAAGGAGTATCTGTAAAATATTTGGCAGGGGGTAGAATAGTCATTTTACAGAAACTACATTTAAAACGCTCGCCCAACGAGGTTCTAACGGCAAAGGAAATTTGGGCCACAACAAAAACAACGGCGGAAATTTGACCGTTGAGTGACCGTTAGGAAAGTTAATGCGTTGAATGAGCTGATGGGGCAACGGCTACATGCGGGATAATGGCAGTGTGAAATTACCTTTTTGGCCCTTAGCTTCTTTGGGTTTTCGTAATTTGCCATCCTCAACCTTTTTGATTTGGGTGAAAATGGAAATAAAAACTAGCTTAAGTTTTTTTTACCACTAGTAAAACCGACACTGGTACTTTCTTTAGCTTTCTATCGATTGTGGGGTATTCCTTGATCTTATGCGTAAACTTAGTTTATTGAAAAAATGGAATGGTATTGTGGGGACCTCATGGTGGGGCCTCCTAATCTTTGGAAATTTTTTAACTTTGTGAAAAAGAAAGGAGCAATCATGCTATACAACTCATACTCAACCCCCACTGTGACCTGCACCACCACATGTAAGTTTAGCCCCACCAACCCTAATTGTGGGGTCCCTTGCCAACCATCTGTGACATTGAAATCAACCACCCACAACAATACAAATCATCAAATTATAATCATGTCAAACCGTCCAGACCTCTACGATGGAGCCACGTGGCGGAATCATGATAGATGTCAGTGCCTGTATTTTTCTACTTTGTACCGTCAACATAGCGGCTGTCACACCGACCAGCCGGCAGTGCAGCCAGTAGCTCTCGCATAGCCTCAAATTTTTTCAATAAGAGACGTGTGTTGCCAAAACAAAAAAAAAAAAAAATTTAAATATTTGTCACGATTTATTTATTTATGGGTAGAATCGAATAATTAAATGCTAATTAAGTTCATTTTTTGTTGGATAATAGTTTATTAAGCCACTTTGAGTTATAATCATAATGACATTAAACGTCTTAATCCTCAAATTAAGAACCTCTAAACTTGCAAATTGCGATAATTACGTAATAGAGAGCCTCTATCGGATAGAAGAGTTCTCTGTCTTTTGAATACATTTCTTCTTCTTTTGTTTTTGTTTTTTTTTTTGTTTTAAATGATTTAAACTCTCGTGTTCCATACAAATACAATTTTTAAGGAGGAGTAGATGATGCAGATATATATTGTACTTATTTATGTATAGTGGGTTCACTGTATATGAGATCACGGGAGCTTGGAATTTGTAGGTTTGCTGGAAAATTAATTGATAGGGTCAATCATGAAATTAACAAGGTAGAAAATGCAGTATTCTCTCTTTCTCAATTATTGAAAAACATTTGGAAAACAATATATATATATATATAGGTATGTTATATGTGTGATCGTGATTTATATAATCTATTGTTCGTTTAGAATTAGATGAACTTATAATCTATTGTTAGTAAAATTTTGATTAAAATCATGTAAAACTTCTATTTAAAGTAAAGTTATTTATCAAAATTCAGCTAAAATTCTAGTAGAACTAAAATTGACAAGTAACAATTGTGTTATTGTCTTGTTAAGCATTTTATATACAACAATCTATTGATTGTCTAATTACAATTTATCAAGATTAAAATTTTCTTTTTTTAAAAAATGTGATTTTAGTTATATTAGAATTATTATATTGATTGTACTGTATTAATTAGATTTATTCCCTCGTTTACTTAGTATTTAGTTTATTGTACTAAGAATTATACAAAAGCAATGTCTTTTTGCAATATATATATATATTTCAAACATTTATGATTTGGATGTGAATAAGTCGAATTACTTATGTTTTAGTTTTAGTCTGGTAATGAACTTTCTGTCCAAAAATTATAAAAGATGTTCCATTTAAAAATATTCTTATTATTGCTTCAACTCATATTTTTTTTTAAAAAGTGGATTCTTCTACTCTATTAGTCCTAAATAAATTAAATACATTTAATAAGATACGAAAGTTTCTTATTCCACAACAACACATAGAACACCTTTTCACTCTTTCATATACTAAAATATTTTATTCGGAAAAGAAAATATTTCATACTTAATGGATTCAAGTCCATATTCATCTTTACAGCCAGTTAATTAGTTTATTCAATTACGACTCTTGTGTATAAAGAGCATGTTTGATTCATTCTTTTTCATAGTTTCTTACTTAGTATCTGAGCCTCATAGAATTCTCTTTTTCTCTCTTGGGTTGACACATTTCGTGGTGTCTTCTATTGTTGGTAGCTGCAGTGTCAAAAATGATTTATAAATCATTCTTCAAGTTTCCGACACCACCAAAAGCTATTGCCCTGTCATTCTTCAACTTTGCAGTCAATTTTTTGAAATTCCACTTCTAAGTACAAGTTTTGTCATTTTTCTTTCGCAACATTTTTGTGCTTATTGATCATACTTGCATCATGGATTTTCTTCCAACATATTTGAAAGCCAATCTATGTTATATTTGATCAATCAAATTATGCTATGTGGGATTCAAGAGATGTGTAGTTTCCCCAAAGGTAGAATTTTATGCTGCATTGTGATTGGTGACATCGAAAACCCACAAAAAAGAAAAGATGAAGGTGAAGAAAAGTTAACTGAATGATTGAGAAATGGGAGGACAAGAACCATTAGATTTTGACTTGATCTCACAATACTCGTACCAATGTTATCAAATTGAAAATTTGTCAGATTCTATACTGCAAAAGAGGTATGGGATTTTCTGCAATCTAGTTATTCCATCTCTGATAATATTCCTCAATTTTACTTGTATCATCAACATCATCACATGCAACAACCACCTGAACAAACCATTCATACATATATTTTTGAGCTACAAGTTTCGTGGGATCAGTTGTCTGTTTGTGATCCAATATGGCTTGACATAAAAGCTACTAAAATGTTTGCTGATCTTTGTGATCGCCAACATGTTTGGCATTTGCTTATGATGGGTTTGAGTCTATTAAGAGTTTTATATTCCATCACAGCCCTCTTTCTAAATTTGATATTGCGATTAAAGAGTTGATTTATGAGGAGACTCGTCTAGATATTATTCCAGTTGAACAAAGATGTGGTTCTTGCTACTCAGGTATCCTCTAAACATACTCTTGTTGTTCAGACATCATCTAATTCTGTCACTCAGAACTCATCTAGATTTTATTTTTCCAAAAAAAACTACTGTAACTACTGCAAAAAGTATGACTATGTGATCTCTAAGTGTTATCAATTACAGTCTCAGCAATCTTCTGCACCCTTCTCGTACATCAGCAGCTACCACTACTGAGTCGTCTTCTAAAAGCACCCTTAAATTCTCCATAAAAGGTATTAAGCTCTTTTACAACAACTATAACCAAAATCTAATAAATCTACCTGTCAAGTCCCATCTGTCACATCAAGTATTTCTTTTTCATGGTTCCTGATTCTGACTGTTACAAACATATGATATCTGATTTTCTGTCTTTACATGGAAAACACGCCCTATAATTACACCAATTATTCATACTGCAGATAATTCAACTATGCATGTTCAAGTTATAGGAATAATTAACACCCAAAACTCTCTCTTTCTAATGTCTTTCTTGTTTTGAAAGTTTACTTAAACCTTTTATCTATTGTGGCATACTCATTTGGATCACCTTTTAGGTTCTAGATTAGGGTCTTTAATTTCTAGTGGCTGTTTGTGTCATTTAAAACCAGAAAATATTGATTATATCTCAAGTCAGCATTTCAAATGCCATGCTTTGTCATTCTCTAATAGTGATACAATTTCTTCTACTCCTTTTGACTTGATTCACTCTGACATTTGAGAAACTGCACCTCATGCTGCTATGGGTGGTTCATGTTACTTGGTGATTTTTTTATGATTATTCCAAATTTTCATGGATTTATAGGATGCAAAATAGATCTGAGTTGTCTTCTATATATGTAAGATTTTAAAGTATGATTGACATTCAATTTTCATGTAAAATTAAAATATTTTGCACTGATAATGCCTTGAATATAAAGAAACTACTATCACCCAATTTTTATTCCAAAATGGAACAATTATTCAAAGATATTTTTTGTAACGCTCCATTTTGTTTTTTCTTTTCACGTTGGATGTAATTAACAAAGCAACCAATTCCATAACTAATCGGTCATGCACAAGGAAACCCTATCACAATCCCTTATTCAATGATCAAGATAAACCTACAATCATGTACAAGTCATCGCACACAATACAACCATACTCAATATCTATGCTACCATCAATTTTATACATTCCATTCGGTCAAAAGAAACTAGAATCTTTATCCTGTTACTCTACACACTAGGTTCGGAAGCCAACAATTTCGATCCAGACTCCGTCCCTACATCATCTGTAAAAGGAAAAGAGTGGGTTTATTTAACCCAATACAGTAAAACTCAAAATACAGGTGTGAAATGCAACAATATAAATCACATGCCTCTACCAACAGTTCACTACTGAACCCCAGTTTCTCCCCTCCTGTACCTACAATCCCCCTACCCAAGGTTTTCGATCCCCGACGGCACCCCAGGCGTGCCAGTGATACCATCCACCGCCAAGGTCGGCGGCCATTAACCACCTATCGACCTCTATTGGGCCACACACGCACACTATTTTTCATTTATTTCCATCACCAACATCGGTGACCATCACTCCTCTATCGACCCCTATCGGGCCACGCACACACACTCTAATCATTCTCTCCCGTCACCACCATCGGCGACCATTAGCCATCTCTCAACCTATACCAGGCCATTCACATACACTCTGATCATTCTCTCCTGTCACCAATATCGGCGACCACTAACCATCTCTCGACTCATACCAGGCCACACACGCACACCATTTTCATTCACTTGCGTCACCAACATCGGCAACCATTAGCCATCTCTTGACTTATACCAGGCCACTCACACACACTCGAATCATTCTCTCCCGTCACTGATATCGGCGACCACTAACCATCTCTCGACCTATACCAGGCCACACACGTACACTATTTTCATTCACTTGCGTCACCAACGTCGGCGACCATCGTCCACCTATCGACCCCTATCGGGATACACACACACACACACTATTCATTCACTCCCACTGCCCCTCTTCGTCCACTACCTGCGACATGCCCTATGTGCCCCTACTCACGCCGTCTTTCCCCCGCCGCCTCGAACTCTACTCACGCGGCCCACACTTTTTCTCTCTTTTCTCCTCCCCGGTCCTACTCTCTCCCAAAGCTCCAGTTACCCCACTCCACTCCCTCAAGCACCTCACTCACCCCGCGGATCCTTCCCTTCCCCAATGTTCACTCACTGCCTCTCCCTATCTCTCTCTCGGATCACATCCTCCCGCCACAACATCTTTCTATCTCCTCCCGCGTTACTCACTCCACCCGTTCCCTCTCCCACAGCTCACTAACCTCACAACTCTTCCTCTCTCCGTTCGTGTTGCTCGCACAACCCGCTCACTCTCACACAGTTCACACACATCTTCCTCTCCTCCCCCGCGTTGCTCACACAGCACGTTCTCTCTCACACTGCTCATTAACCTCACACATCTTCCTCTCTCCTCCCCCGTTGCTCACACAACACGTTCCCTCTCACACTGCTCATTAACCTCACACATCTTCCTCTCTCCTCCCCTGTTGCTCACACAACACGTTCCCTCTCACACCACTCATTAACCTCACACATCTTCCTCTCTCCTCCCGCGTTGCTCACACAACACATTCCCTCTCACACCGCTCATTAACCTGACATATCTTCCTCTCTCCTCAAGCGTTGCTCACATAACCCGCTCCCTCTCACACAGTTCACGCACATTTTCCTCTCTTCCGATCTCCACTCACTCCGCACTCCTATCTCTCTCTCGGCCTTCGCCCGTACCGTCACCTTCTCTCTCTCTCCTCCCGCGATTCTCACGCAGCCAACTTCCTTCCGCCCGCCTTATTACACACACTCACCCTACACGGCCTCCTCCGTACACCGCTACTTCCGTAAGCTGTCACCACGCACGCCACACATCCAAACATTTCAAACTCAAATCAACATATGTATTTGAAATTTGTTACCGTACCTCCCATTTCCATCTCCCTTCTTTCGGCCGATCGCGCTATCACCGTCCGCGGTCTCCTCTTCTCTCCGGTCCGCTTCCTTTCTCTCTCCTTCTGGAACTTTCCGTCCTCTCCTCTTTCTCTTTCCCGCTCCCCTTCTTCATCCGTTCCTTTTTTCCTTTTTCTTTTCTTCTTTTTCTTTCTTCTTTCCTTCTTTCCCCCGCTCCCTATTTATATCACCCTAGTTTTTCCTCAAAACGACATCGTTTTTTCCCTTGCAGAACGACGTCGTTTCTCCCTTTTCAAAACGACGTCATTTTCTCCCCTCTGCAAAACGACGTCGTTTTCCCTTCTTTAAAACGGCGTCGTTTCCCTCCCTTTTTTTTTTCCTTTTCTTTTTCCCCAGTTATTACATTTTTCATGGAACTTCATATCAAAATGCCCATGCAGAACGAAAACACAGACATAATGTTCTAAATTTTTTTTTGAAGAAGCTGCACTACTGTTGTTTACATGATCAATCACATTCTATCTCCAATCACTAGTAGTATTTCTCCATATGAGTGTTTATATAATCATACTCCAAAACATCATGTGCTTAAGGTCTTTTGGTAGTGCTTGTTTTGTTTTCCTCTAGCCTCATGAATACACTAAATTAGAGCCAATCGCAAGATTATATTATTTTCTGGGATATAGCTTTGAACATAAGGGTCGTTGTTGGCATCCTCTTTCTAAACGTCTTTGAATTCCTCGTCATGGCATATTCTGGGAACATAAGATGTTCTCTACCTTCTTGTCCTTCCATATTGACAAAATTCTTAACCCTTTTTTTATTAATCCTAATGTCTCTTTTGTTCCTTCTGAATTTTTGCAGATGGTAGCTCTATTAGTTTGAACCAACATACTGCTTCTACTGATGAATCTTCTCCAGCTGTGGAACATATTCCTCTAGTTCCTTCCTCACCATTTGTTCATCTTCATATAAGTCACCCTTCCATTCTTTTACTTGATTATGTTTGCAACTCTGCCATTATCACTTATGACCTTGCACTCATTCTGGGCTGGTTCTGATCTTCTTTGGCAGATAGCTATAATGAAAGAACCTCAGGCTCTTACTAATACACCCTTGGGATCTGGTTGACATGCCTTTTAAGAAGTCTGTGATTAAATGTAAATAGATTTATGAAGTCAAGATTCACGCAGATGGTTCTATAGAATGGTATACAGCTTGACTTATTGCAAAGGGCTTCACAAGAATATGACACTACTTGTGAAGAAATTTTTGCTCTAGCAGCTTGTCTTACCTCTAATCGAAGCCTTATTGTTATTGCTGCTGTTAAATAATGGAAGTTGTTTCAGATGGATGTTAAAAATGTCTTTCTCAATGGGGAGCTATCTGAAGAAGTTCATATGACACCTGCCCCTCATTATGATCATCCACCTGATAAAGTTTGTTGCGTAAGGGAGGCTCTTCATGGCCTCAAACAAGTACCCCTAGCATGGTTTGCCAAGTTTAGGTCTATTATTTTAAATTGGATTTCAATCTAGTCCTCATGATCATGCATTGTTTATTCAAAAGACTACTCAGGGATGTACTTTGTTTCTTCTTGATGCAGATGACATGATTATTACTGGAGATGACTTAGGAGCGTTGATGACTTTAAATCTTTCTTTAGTCAACAATTTGACACAAAACATCTTGGACTTCTAAGTTTTTTTCTTGGATTTGAGATTTCATCTAATCAGTTTAGATATTATTTATCTAGTATGCTACTGATTTTGTTTCTCATGCAGGTTACAAATTCTAGGATGATGCATACTCCCATGGAATCTAATACTCTTCTTAGTGATGGCACTGTCTGTTGTCAATTAGTTGCCAGCCTCGTCTATCTTACTGTCATTTGACCAGACATTGCACATGTTGCCCACATTGTTAATTAGTTTATAACAGCTCCCTATACCACTTACTTCACTGTTGTTTTACATATTATTCGTTACGTAAAAGGGACAGAGGTATGATGGCCTTCACTTACCTAGACATTCGTCTTTTGACTTGCAAGTTCACTATGATGTTGATTGGGCTAGTCGTCCGATAAACCGACACTCCACTACTGGTTGTTGTTTCTTTTTTGATAATTCACTGATTTTCTGGCATTAGTAAAAAACAAGCAATTGTATCTCACTCTAGTACTAAAGCTGAATATCGAGCCCTTTCAGATATTGCATCTGAACTTCTCTAGTTGCATTGATCACTTCAAGATACTGAGAGTTTCACATTTTTCAGCTTCATCCTTTCATTTATGATAATCACAAGGCTGTGTAGATTGTCCCCAACAATGTCCTTCATGAATGTATTAAGTATATTGAGAATGACTGTCATTTTATTTGTTGTCATGTTCTTTAGGTGCCATTCAACTCATGCTTGTATTTTTTTTTTTTCCTCAGATCAGATTGCCGATATCTTCATTAAGGTTCACCCACCTGATCAGCTTCATGATCTAGTTCTCAAACTCCAGTTACCCGATCTTTTTCCACCTTGAGTTTGAGCAGTTGTTAGCATATCGTTTTTATTATATTAATTTTATTGTTAGAACATTCTAATGTTATATTGATTGTATTGATTAATTAGTTTTATTCTCTCCTACACTTAGACAGTAGTTTAGTATATTAAAAAGTCATACAATTAGCCATGTAATTAATTAGCTGCTTTACTTTGTCAGGACTCTTTTGTATAAATAGCTTGTATAATTCATAAACACACACATAACAAAAATATAAAGTTCAGTAACCACTAAGTCATGTTATTTATTTATTTATTTATTGAAAGAAAGCCACCTTAACAATTTATCAATAATTTATCACACCACCCATGCCAATTTCACAAGTGCCCGCGACCTCAGAGGCTAAATTTAGCATTAAAATCATAAATCAGAACATAAAATTGCAAATATATACATATGGACTCAAAACAGGAAGTTCTTAGAAGCAAGAGTAGATAATATGTATTTGCCTCGAGTCCAAGTTAAATTTTATATAATAAAAAGGAATATACTGCAATGTAATAAAAATTTGAATAAAAATCTTGAATTAGGATAAATATATTTGAACAAAAGGCAACGTTAATGATAAAATACACATGATTTTAAATGATAAAACAAGCCTTGATTCAACTAATTAGAGGGTATAAAGATTTTATACAACATTTTTCCAGACCATGATAGAGCTTGCTAGGCTGGTTCGTTTGTTTGCAACAATTAATGACAAGAACAAATACTTAACAAAGCTACAAAATGTTTGTTTATTTGTTTGCACAGTTAATGACAAGAACAAATACTTAAAAAAGCTACAAAATAATTATAAGTACCTTTCTATTTCTCCTCATTTAAGTCGTGGTGGTGTCGCAGTTGGATATGTCGGCAAGGTCTTCCTGGTTCTCCGCTGCTCCATAAAACCTTGAGATCACCCCTCTTCTTTCCCATAGTTAAGAAGGTTCCTACATCAACCAGTGAATCTTTGTGAGGCTGTTGTAAATGGGAGGAAATTTCTAAGGTGGATTGCCGGTAATGGTGGTTTGGTTTCTACCACTGTTAGACAGTTTATGTTTAACGAATCTAATTGTAATAGTATCCAAGTTGTGATAATTCTGTTCAGAACCAAATCACCTTAAAAATAAACCTGCAAATGGGACAGTGATTTTCAATAGCTTGCTATAAGAAAAAAAGATTACCAAGTGTGAACGGGACAATGTAAAGCAGTGCTGGTTGTCCATGCCCGTCCATTAAGTTTAGAGCCACATACGTAACGAGAAGACCTGTAACAGGAATGCAAAAGTACTTAAGGTACAGAAACCACTCCAATGAACCCTGACTGTAATCAACAGGAAAACACCTAGGGTTCTTTGTGTTGCTTAAACATTTTGTCTCTGTTAGCATGCCAATGCTTCCTAAATTCATGCATAATGTAAGAGAAAGGCAATCTGTTCTATCTTCTTACCTAGTCCATAAGCAAATATAGCCCACAGGAAGTATCCAGCTCGAAGAGTCTTATTTGCAAGCCAATCATACCTGCATGATGATGGTATTTAGGTTTCCTTTTTGACAGGTGACTCACTAATCTTTGAGCATTTACTGGAAGCATTACCACTGGACAATATGCTCTAGATAAGCGTGTCAAATTGTTAATGAAGTTATAGCATTCAAAACATTATGATTATGTCAGAAAATATGGAACCCCATAACTTAGTAAAATCCAATGACATTTTGAAGGCAATTAATTGTGGATCAGAGCATTTTGAACTTTAAAAAGAAGAAGAAAAAAAAAGCAAGAAAGAGAGCAATAGTCGTTGGAGAAAAGAATGTAACCTGATGAGATAGTATTACACATTCCGGACAACTATGCTCTCTAAGGGCCAAGTTATCAAAGTCTTGAAAAAACAAAAAAAGAACATAGGTTTTGAAAATCTCGCTACAGTAAGTATGCGGTAAATGATTTTATTTATGATAAACGAATTTATTTAAATTAAGAACTCCATTAGTTGTTTTCATTATTTTTACCAACCTGCATTTCTGTATCGGTGAGTAGCATAATATTATTACTAAACTAGTATAACTCACTCTCTCATTAACCATTTCAGATCAAAAGAACTAACATCCAAAACTCGATCCACAAGAGGGTTGCGAGTAAGATGCCCAGTTGTTTATTTTCTATTTATTTATTTGATTTTCGTTATTTTTTTTAAAATGATCATTCCCGTAACCCTATTGAGTAATCTGAATTATTGTGTAAGAAGTGTAAACCCTAACACCATGAATCACAAATCAAGTCGTGAGTTGACCAATTCTCACAACCAAATTAAGTTCAATATTGCTAAATCACAAATTTATTTTTGATTCAAGTTATGTCAATCACTCCGACAAAAAAAATTTAGTCTGACATGGTAAATTGAGGAAGAACAGTTATTATTAAGAAAAATATAATAAGGAAATAACTAAAAATAATTGTATGAAAAATCACAAACATTCCCATTCAAGTTTCATAAAGAAAATTCCTAAAAATTTCTATAAAAAGAATATATGCTAATAAAAACTCAAATAAATATTTTGGTTGTGGGCAGAATAACAGGACTTTATATGAAAGAAGCATTAATGGGAATGAAGCTTTCCTATAAAAAAGGATTTAAAAGCCTATACCTGAGAGAAAATGCTACAACAAGCCCTGGTAAAAGGATGTCCCCGAACCCTATAATGCTGTAACCACCCCAAGGGTCAAACATGCGTGGAATCTTCAATAGCATTGGAATACCGTCCTCTCCACTCCTATCACCACGAGCTACCTGCAAAAGAGATGTGAGCAATAAATTAAAACGCGTTTAAGTGTTGTATTAGTATGTTAGATAGATAAAAACAATCATGGTTAGTTACCACAATCATCACGCTTTCATCGAACAACTTCTTAGAAAGGAACACCCAAAAGATGTCGTACAAGAAGGCACAACTGAGAAGAACTGTACCTACCTGATTGAAATAATGAATGAAATCATTTCCAGAAGTATATCCAATGTTAGTGCCAACAAACACAATGATAAGTAACATTACAAGGAATAAAATAGCATAAAACAATCAACTGAGAAGAACTGTACCTACCTGATTGAAATAATGAATGAAATCATTTCCAGAAGTATATCCAATGTTAGTGCCAACAAACACAATGATAAGTAACTTTACAAGGAATAAAATAGCATAAAACAATAAAAGTATCCCAAAGAGAAGGAATTACCATTATATCTTTATAAAAGCACATAACAAGAAAACATGAGAACATACTAACAGTCAACTCAATGCGTACCCTTCAACAAATTATCAAGGATTCAGACAGAAATCTCAAAGTAATATTCACATGATCTTCAAGGGATGAAAGTCCTCTTTACAGCAAGCTTGACATGGTATAGAAAACAGAGTTTGATAAGTTTAGCTGAAATTTTGTTCTTTAAAGTTTGAAAAACAACACTACTTCCAAAAGGACTAGAACTGTCGGTGGACCAAATTATCAAGCATTACAGATAAATCTATGATTAATATTTTCAAGCTATTCAAGAATGAAACTCCTCTTTTGAGCAACCTTGACATGGTTTACGAAATGTGGTTCAGTGAAGTTTAGTCGAAATCTTGTTCTTTGAAATTTGAAAAAAAAAAAAAAAACAATAGTATTTCCAAAAGGACTAGAGGTGGGAAGGAGAGAAAAGAGATATCATGACAAGAGAAAACATCATTTATTCTGGATGTGGATAGCACTTAGTAATTGTATTTGCATTCATCTTTGTTACATCTTTCATGCCTTTCCCTTTTGACTTCATATTTCCGGCACATCCTCCACCTAGCAACTAGCAATAAGAGCTTGGGGAATTCAATCTGTCATTATCATTGGCATCTTCCCAGATTAAAAGATAAAAAGAAGGAACTCCTAGAACAGCATTATGAGGGGCAAGCACAATTAGCAAACCCTAATAATGGCACTTTAAACTCATCTCATTCAATTCTCATGTGAAAATTTATAATATAAATTGAGAATTTGCATGGTCAAATTCTCATGCTCTCTGTGAATACCTGCTTAAATGGTCAAAACCACCTTCAAGGACACAGAAAAATGGGATTTCTTTAGTTGTGGAAAAGGGGCATGTCATGTAAATTTAGAAAAAGAATTGTAGAAAAGCATGTTATTTCCCAAATGACTACAAGAATAGATAATCTACAAATTAATCTATGCCACAGTGCATGCAATCAAAAATCACCTTAAGATTGGGCACATGAACAATCTGCAGCACCGTGATAATAAGTGCAATTCCCTGATAAATGAAGAGATAAAAGGAAAGAGATCATTTATGATGACTTCACATTAAAAGCAAACCAACAAGAAGGATAATGAAATGAAAAGACTTGTTGTAGCCTTCTTATCAAATGAATGAATTACCAATAATATTTAGCTTCCCCAATAGACATGCCAAAAAGACGATTGTATTTATCTGAACACATGCATTCAGGAGTTTGGGCATAATTACAGTGAAGTCCACGAGTTTCTAAACTATCAATTTAGTCCTTTTGTTTATACACCATTAAAAAGATACTGAAAACACTTTAAAAAAAGTGCCTATGAATGAACGTACAAACTTAGCAGAAGCATCATTCTTCAACAAAAAACATGACTGTTTGCTCAAACTTAGGTGAAAAACTATAAGTAAACTAAACACAATAGAGAAAAGTGGTCATATGTAATACTACAGGTGATTTCTGATGGGATAACTATAGGATAAAATCTAAGGTAAATTCAAAGCACAATATAGATCATCATTAGTGAACGTTTAACAATAGGTTCATTATTTTTTTTCTTTCGGAAATAACAAGACGTGGATGATTTAATTGGAATTTGTTGTTAAAGTAAAGCTGATTGACTTGACTTAACGGTCATTTTTGAACTGGACTGAAGCGAAATAAGAATTCAACACCAGTGAAAGTTAAATTACTTTAAAAAGTTTATGAACTTTACTGTAGTTTATCCTATTATTTACCTTATTTATTTTCTGGCCACTAATATGTTGTAATTTGTTAAATTTGATACAGAGAAATGCTAATTACAAAGGGATCCATGCAAGAACTTCATCTTCAGATTATGTTGGCAATAATTACATAGCAGGAAAACTTCTTTGACATTAATAAAGCAGAGAAACTATTAAGAACATATGCTAATAGATCTTTTCAAAAAACTTCTTTCACATTAATAAAGCAGGGAAGCTATTAAGAATTTACGCTAATAGAAAATACTGTAATATTCTGGAAATAGTTAGCCTGGTGGTGGCAGAAATAACAATCATTCACTTAGATCATGTCCTTACTAGAATATCTTGACCTATCCAAGCAAAGGAAAGGTTGCGATAAATGGCCCAAACAGCAGCAAATGCAATGCAGAATGGAGAAACAGCCAAAGTAAGATATGAAAGAGCTCCAAAGAAAGGCACTTTAATGTATGACCGTCCGGAACGTTTGAACCACCTGAAATAGTATGTCTACATCAGACTTACATCTATAGGAATGACTGTGCAACCAGCCACGCTTAATATTACTTTTTTTAAAAAAAAATACAACCTAATATTACTTATTCATATGAGATGTTACTGTTTAGCTGCATATATTTATTTAACATAGAAACAATCTGAAATTTAACAAGTAAGCTACTACAAATTCATTAAAATTTAATGAAATGCTTGAAACATCTCCATACACTGAATAGAGAAACCTGTGGTACAAGACCACAAATAGAAACATGTAATAGCATATAAATTTCTGAATGCTTCCTTAAACTTAATGCAGATAAGCATGATGTATTTACATGAATCAGGGACTTCACCATCCATTTCCATTCAAATATGGCAAAATGGAAACATGCATAGTGGCCATTGCAGTAAACATTTAATTCACCCCAAAAACGTGGCATTTTATTATTCATAGATTTCTATATTCATCATTTTGTAATGTATCATATTTCTCTATAACAGTCTTCTCCTTGAAGCTCAATTTTTTATTTGGTGTATATGGTCAACCATCAAGTTCTCTTAATATTCTGTTTTTTACTGACTGATCTCCCTTTCAGGGTCCTATTTCCAAGAAGGAAAAGAAGTGATAAGAATGTAAAATTCTCCCTAGTTTTGGATCATAATATTCTCTCTGGGATCCGTTGAGCTCAGAACTGGAAGTATAATAACCAACTTAACACGAATTGTTGAATGGGTGAGAATGTCAACTAATTTCACTAGGAGATAAGATTGCATATTTTCAGTGGATTGAAAGGGAAGATCAAACTCTGGCCAACACACACTCAGGTACCAAAACTCAAGTTTTTGTTCTCAAAATGTTCATATGTCATCATTGAAATATTATCCTCTGCTAGATACTTGATGAAAGGCCACATTATTCTCATCAATCATCAATTCATTCAACAATCTTATCAGCCTTGCTTTTGTTCTTTAGTATCCTCAACATAAACTGAGTTAGTGCATGCTTGGCCACAGTCTTCTACTTGTTTTTTGCTAGATGGAAATAGAAACCTAGCCAAATGCCAAAAACAGAAGTATTTTTAGTTAAAAGAAGAATCTAGTTGTAACGATAAAATTAAAAACTGAAATAAATACTTAAAAAGAATACTTTTCAAATACAACTTATTTAAAACAATTGAATAATATTTTTAAAAAGTATATTAATTTTATGTTTCACTAATTAGCATTAATATTTTTAAAATAGAAATATATTAATAATTTCATATTTATTATAAATTATTTAAATAATTTAATTTGAAAAATTAAATCATACTTATTTCAAATTAATAGTTATATTGAATAAAAAGATAAGATAATTAAGCAATAATTTTTCAAAAATAATCTAATTATTAAAGAAATCATAAAAAAATATTTAAGTTATTTGAATAACTTTAACAATTAACTTTTTTATTATTATATATTTTTTTACCATTTCAACATTTATTCTTAATTTTACCACAAAAGAGAACCTTACATTTTATATAGACATCAATTCTTACAACAAGTTTAACCAAACACTATACTATTTTCACTGAATATCATTCCCACAGTACTTTTTAGTACCTCACAGTACAAGCACCAAGAAAGCCAGATAGATCCTTATTTGTACAACAATTTGGTTCAGTTTGCCCGAAGCCAAACTGTCTAAACATTAAGACTACACCATGGGTAGCAAAAGAGAAAATTACTACTTTAATGCATAAAAGAACCAACCTGGTGAAGAAAAAAATATTAGAGGACATAAATGGAGAATAATTTCTATGCGAAGATATCAAGGTTTTAGTTTACCCCCTTCTTCCATGCACCCTTCCAAGCCCTTTTATTCTTACCAAACGTGCACTAGCGTACACTTCTCAGCTCCTTCCACGGATTTTAAGCTTTTAATTAGAAGTTTATTATTCTGAAGGTTAGATACTCTTGCATAGCGATTCTATGACTTAAGACTGACATTTAACATGGGTAAATGAGTTTCAAAATATAAGACTTGTGAAGATTGGCGGATCTTATTTCATAATTCACAACTCAACAGCACTAAGTCTTTTGGCATCTTTAAGCCCATAAAACACCTATATGTGTCCATCTTCCTACACATATACTCTTGTGAATGTATATTCCTAAGATGAGCCTTGCAATTGCAGCCAGCTTGTTTACCATGTACACCTAAATGCCACATAACATAAGCACTTCCACCCTTCCAAGTACAGGCATGAGTTTATACAAACAGCTTAAAAGTGGGTACGTGATTAATTATGCATCTCAAAGAAAATTTTTAATTGTCTGCTGAAAGACAAATCTTGATAGGAAGCATTTGACTATACCTTGACAATAAAGCAACCAAGCAAGTTTGCAAACCCTGGACACAAGGAAGTTCCAAGTAAAAAATCCTATGATTATAATGCAGCTCAAAAATCGGCAGAGAAAAACTGAAATGATGTTCCTATGGCACACGAATAAGTATAACACATAAAGAGGAATGTGCATACAAAGCATGCATACATGCATACAATTTTAGATGCTAAAAAAGGACGAATACCTCTACACCACCTATGCAGAATAGAACAACTAGAAGCTCAACGAACCAAGATGACATTAGTTTGTAAAGTATAACCAAGAAGCACGAGGCAACAAAGACAAACAGAATTGCTGATGTTGTGTTGATATCTACAACACCACCAGCACCTAAAGCTCCGGTATTTGGAACTTCGTCCACATCATCCTGCAGAAGTGCAAATGAAATTGGAAATAAATAGGAGACCTTTTGCCAGAAATAAAAGACAAGAATTGCAGGAAAATAGTGGATTAAACCAGCTGATCTAGCACCAAAGGAGATGACCTTCAATAACTTGTCCTGCTCAACAGCTGCTTCTCGGGCGCTCCATGCAGACCAATAAGATGCACACACGATGGTCCCAACTGCTATTAACCATAAGAACACTTCGGCTGTGTCAACTAGTGGTCTGCGTGGAGAGTAAAGCTGCACTGAGACTGCAGAAAAAGCATTTTTTTTAAGAGCTACCCATAAAGGAATTACTTGCACAAGTGAATATGCCAGACATTGGATAGATGTCAGCTCTCAGATGTGCAAATGGAGTAACTAATAATCACAGCATGAAAAGCTTACCAGATGATCGATTCATTAGCATTTTTTCTAAACTTGCACCAGCATCTTGTGGGAGCATGACGGCAGGTATGTCTATGTCTAGATCGGTTTCATCAGGCTCACAAATCATTTTGTAAAGTTCTGCAGGAAGAAGAAACACATTTTTGAAACATAACTGATAGTAACAAAGTCTCAATAATTTGCTACATATTCAACATCTGAATTTATTAAACTACAGATGGTTTCATCAATCATAGGCATTAAACCACCTCTACTCCTGTATATTATAGCACAATAATCAAATAACATAATCAAATATAACGACTACCTTTCTGGTTATTTATGATGAGAACAGCTGAAGCACCAGCAGCCTCTGCATTGTTTGCCTTAGTTGTGAATTTGCAGTGACCTCGGTGTACCATAACGACATCTCCTGCAAGCTAACAAGTAAAAAACATATATTCTTTTTCTTTCAATAAACAGCTACTAAATTTTTACACTTTTGAAAACAATCTGTAAGTGTAATCTGCAAGGGATAACCTTATTTTTTGGTGGACTACAGCAGTCACGTGGATCTGAAAGAGTAAGGCGAGTACGGTTTGCATTTTTCTCCTTTGCAACTATGGCAGTACCAAATCTGGCGCCCACACCAACAAATTCAGCATCCTCTGTATCATTAACCCATGTTTGAACTTTCACCTATAGGAAGAAAACCATGATTGAATTGAAAAACAAAATACAACAAAGGTGTCATAACAAGAAAGAAGTTAGACCCAAATACAAGCCATATTTCTTAAACAAAACTAGGCCAATATTGTATATGCGCTCCTCATTAACATGAATCTAGAAACAAAATAAAAATAATCGGCCACAGAATTATGATTGAAAAGGATGCATTTTATGATTTTCAATTTCTACCGCTACCCCTACTGAAAACTTAACTACCAAAACGAGCATAATCAGTTATTACTACAAAACAGAAAAGGCACTAAGTTTCCCTTCCCCACGCCGCCCCCCGGGAAAAAAGTACTTACTGCATAAGATATCTCCAAAGGCGAAAACGCAGTGAAAAATAGAAATGTGTGAGAAATTAATGAAAAAGCAGACCGCACCTCTAATTAAAGACCGAAGTAAATATGAAGAGATTGAGAAAAATATATAATTCTACAGAAATTTAACTATAATGAACTGAATTTAGGTTGAGTATTCAGTAGCAAATTACCAACAAACGCGGTCAAATACACATTTGCCTAATTCTTTACCGCAAAAGCAGAAAGAAAAAAGAAAAACAAAAACATCAAACAGAAATTTACAATTCTTTCCACTGTTTACAGTCATAGAAACGTCACGAACGCAGGAAAAAAAACAAAACAAAAAACATAAGAAGTAAAAATGAAGCAAGAGCCAGTTGAAGAATCGGGAAGCAAGTGTAGAAGAATAAAGCTACCAAAACGAAGTCGTTCTCGCAGCCAGGCTTCTTGGGAGCTGAATCGTCGTCGTGGACGATGTCGCTAGGCGTAACGGGAGCAGAGAAAAAGAGCAGTGAAATCAAAGCTGATGCAAAGATTAGCAAACCGACTCCTCGCAAATCCATGGATTCTCCTTCTTCAGCTTGTGAAGTATTCCTCTCTTACTCTGCATCACAAATTTAATGCTCAATGCTTTATACCCGTATTTCGTCCTTAACTCCACACTTACTATTAACAACAGCTTTGATTAACTAATGAAAAGAAATAACCACCGAAAATGGAACTACCAGCAAACTGATCACATGGATTCACAGCTGAGATAAGCACACAGTTACAGTCGCCAATCACCATGGCCAAAAAGCTCCCCAAACAAAACGGCCCCGTTTGAGTCAGTGAAACGGTGCCCTGCCTCAGTCCTTTTAGAAATTATAATTTAAGAGTGTTTTGATTTTATTATAATTTCTAATTAATTAAATGAATAATGGAATCTTGGTGACAAAAAATTTAAGCTTTAAAAATTTTAATTATCTTTTCATCAAATTAAATTCTATATTTAAAAGTTATTTTAAACTTCTATCTACAATTAAACTTTTATTTAATATAAACCTTCTAATTTGTCTTATCTTTTCATCAAGTTAATTATTTATATATTTAAAAACTATATGACTTTTACTTATCAATCTTTTTTATCAAATTAATTAATTAATTTTATATATTTAAAATTCATCTTATATCTATTTGATATCAAATTTTTATATCAAAATTAAAATATTTTATTTTTTAAGTATAATATCAAATATACTTATAAAATGCTCCACGTCACATATAATTCTATAAAAAGAAAGGTAAATAAAGAAGCAAATCAAAGTTCATTTTATTAAACTAAATATATATATATATATATATATATATACTAGATTCATTACCTTAATAATTAGAAAGATTATTTTCTTTAGTTTTCGATTGCTTTAGCTCAAGATTGTTTATCTTTTCCTTCTCAATCAAGTATTAAATTTCATTTTTTGAGTGATGGTACTTGTCTATGTCATTATCTATCATATGTGAAAACTATATTATGCATTATGATCAAAATTTTTTGGGAAGAGGTTCAACAAATCATAGGTATACCACAAGATTATAGAAGTCCTTCCTTTATGAGTTTAGTCAGAACTTTATGTAAGAATTGACTCATCTTAGAACATTGAACAAATTGTTGAAGTTTTTGAGAGGATAGTGTTGTAATTTACTATTGATTGAGTATATTGCCTCTTAGAGCATCATAGATTAAGTCTTTTTTCAAAACGAACATTCTTTATTTGTATGATTTTATTTTTCTAATAAATCAGTAGTTAATTTTTTATGACACGTTACTTTTAAATATTAAAATATTATCGTTAGTTTTAGTGTTGTAGGAATACTACTCTAAGAAGCTGACAAATAATTTCTTTCTATCAATCTATAATAATTTTTTGTAGATTGAGGAAACAAACTTTTAGGACTTGACCTTAGTTTAATCTTGAAGCACTCACTATAGTGACTAACTACAATATATATTCATCAAAATTCTTGATTTCATTAAATTTAAGGAGATCTAGAATAGAAAATGAAACTAGCAACTTTCTTGCATTTATTAGGGCAAATATTTCATAGTCATGGATATTTTTAATGTCTTTCTCTTTCAACATCTTTTTGATCCTTTAAGTCAACTATTTTATTTTTCTAGTCTATTTCGTTTTGAGAAGGCTAAGTACTTTCTTTCAGGTTCTTATCAAAGTTGTATACTATAACGACCTCGGAATGTCTAAAGCAATAAATTATAACTTTAAGTGCGGAAGTAAAATAAATGGTTAAGGTTTACATGACTTACATAATAACTTAAAGTACTGAATAGTGCTATGGAAATTACTCTTTTAAAAGAAATACAACAAAATAAAGAAATAAGCGAAAAATAAATAAAATTAGCATCCTACTCGTAACTCTCTTGTGGATCAGGCTTTGAATTTTGGTCATATTGATCTGAAATGGTTAAATAAGGAAAGAACTACACTAACCTAGTAAGAATATCACGCCAACTCACCGACACATAAATGAAAGTTGGTAGAAAATTAAAACAACTAATGGCGCACTTAATTAAATAAATGTATTTATTAATAATAAAACCGTTTACCGTCTACTTACCATAGCAAAATTTACAAAAATAACCTATAGAAATAACAACATTATACATATCATGATTTCATATGTAATCGACAACATAGCACATATTATACTTTCATATTCAAATAACCGAAATAATAACTGTCACTTTCCATTAGTCTGCTGGCATCCATGGGGGTTCATAGGGATGTCCCCGCTACGCGTGAATCCTTTCCTTTAACATTCTCAATTATGGGCCATCCTCATACCTCATCCGGTATGAGTGTCAAATTATTAAACCTCGATACCACATCCGGTATGAGGGTGAAACAGGTCGTCCCCATACTCCGTCCAGTATAAGCGCCAAATTACCAAGTATTGATACCCCGTCTAGTATGAGACAACGTTCACGGTAGGGTTTCCTATTATACCTGGTCCGTCCATCATCTATCAGGATATGTAGTAAAACTGTCGCTTCATCTATTTACTTAATCACATAATTTTCTGTTTTTCTTTAGTTTTCATTTTCTAATTCAATCGTAATCACATAAATCAAATAATGCATGCATTCAAAATTATAAAATCGATCAAGAAGGTACTATCATGCATTTAAACTGTAAAAGCAACCAACAGAACAATAGTAGATAATTTTCGATTTTGCCTCCATTAGTAATCTGTAATTAATTATGAATATTTTTTAAATTATACAAAATATCATATTATTATTTATTTAAACTTCAATTCTATAACAGAGAATAGGGTGAGATATTCTTACTCAATTTGATGCCCGAAAAGTTAAGCTGTTGACTGCGCCTACTAGCGGTCTCCAAGTTCTCTGAATTTTTTTTTAGGAATTTAAACACGCTACAAGTATCTAAAAATATCCCCAAAAAATCTAAAAACAGTGTTAGGGCCCACTTTGGCCAATTCTGAAATTCCAGCATGGCGGCTCCGCCATGTTTCAGCGATGGCACCGCCACGGACGACAGTAGTCCGCTTCAGGTCGGCTATTTTCGGCCGTTTTAAGCCGAATTCAGTCGATTTTGCATCAATCCATGTAAAAAAATATGTTAAGGGGCCTCGCTTGGCTGAAAAAAATACAAAAAACTAAAACTTACTGACGGCGGGGCTCTCCGGTGCGGCGGCTCCTCCGGCTCACTTTGCAATTGGGTGTTTTGCTATGGTAAACTTGTAGAGAAGGAATCGGTGATCACAACGGTAAAAAAATTATATAGAACGGGAATTGGGAAGGGTCTCATTAGAGGCATTTTGTGAAATTCTCCGCGGTGGTGCTGACAGGTTTTGCCCGCAGTTTCCGGCCAATCGGCCAGTCCTTTTGCTTTGATTTGGCCATGAGGTGTTTAAAATTGAATTCCGAGCAAAAGAAAGTTTTTTTTACCTTTTTTGGCGATTGGGAAAGGCTTCGGTGTGGCGGTGGGTGGCGTTAGCTCTCCATCCCAACGGCTGGGTCTTCTTCTCTGGTGAGAGCGTTTTGCGACTAGAGTTAGAGTTTGGTGTGAAGAAGATTATTTATATCCGTCCTCATCTAATCCGGGTCGTCAATCGCATTTGATCTGGATCGTCCGATCGCAATTAAATAGGTAATGAATTTGGACTGTTCATCATGATCTAATATGGGCAATTCATTACGATCTAATTTGAACCATCCGATCACGTTTAAATTTAGCCGTCCGATCGTATTTGGGGAAGGAACGCATCCAGGCCGTCCGTGTGCAGGGGAACGAATTTGGACCGTTCGATCGCGGGTATGCGGATCGTCCGCGTGGCACCACGTCAGCATCCGTTGCCACGCAACGCGTCCTAGTTCGTCAGGACTGCTGATCATGCATCCTACGTGTCAAACTTTTCTAAATTGCATTTTGTCAAGAGAAGCTCCCATCGAAGTTCACTATGAATCTTTGGGTACCTATCATGAAATATATGGACACTATTTAATAGTAAGAAGTATAAAAAAATAAATTCTTTGTATATACATTCGAACCATTGTTGGTCATATTTTTCTTTATTGAAAAATCGAAGAAGCTATACAAGGTTTTTGTCGAGCCTGCTCCCCTGGTTTCCGATTTTTCTTTCAAAAATACCCATAGAACCCAAATTTTCTCTCATTTTTTTCTAAAATTGTTTTCAATTTCATCCTCCATCATATTTTCTTCATTTTTACACTAAATTAAAATTTAAAAAATTAAAAATTTAAAAAATTATATTTATAATTAATTTGATTAAATTAATTTAGGCATTACAACTCTCTCCTCTTAAAAAGAAATTTGGTCTCTCAAATTTGTCTCTCTCACTCTCAATCAAATAACTGTGGATATTGGGCTCTTAAGTCTGATTCTATCTCCCATGTGGCCTCTCTCAGTGTGTGATTCTGCCACATGACTTTAACAAAAGAAATTTTTTGGTTGTGCAGTAATCTGCTCTTTCGGTCCACAATAACGACCGGTACTTCCTCATAAGACATATCCTTCTGGAGTGGAAAAGGCTCGTGGGACAAGACATGAGAGGAGTCTGGGTTGTACTTGCGTAGCATGAACACATGAAACACATTATGGATCCTGAAAAGTTCTGGAGGTTGTGCTAATCTGTAGCTAGCAGTACCAATTCTGTATAAGATCTCGAATGGTCCGATAAACCGGGGGCTTAGTTTCCCCCTATTTCCAAACTTACTGATTCTCTTGAAATAAGTGACCTTAAAGAACACTTGATCGCCTAATTCAAATTCTAAATCCCTCCCCCAAGTGTCCGCATAACTTTTTTATCTGCTCTGAGCCATCT